CCGTGGCGCACACAGTAACATATTCCCAAAGAGCAACCATACGGGGAGCACTGATGCTAGGGGGGGGAGAGGCGTTGTTACTCCCCTGGGACCCCAGGTGGGCGCACGCAAGGCTTCCGAAGTGAAACGCCCGTAGCTCACGGGAGTTGAGTGTCGGATCAAGCGAGTGTGAGAGAGTGTGGAGAGGAGGAGGACAAGAGCGTGCGGTGGTGAGATGATTGCTTTGTGTTGGCAAATAATTTGTCAGTATTATCATCTTGTCTCTTTTTTTCGCTACGCCCCGTGCGAAAGTAGAAATGCGTGCTTGCATGCGTGGAACCATCGGCGCTATGATGGAAAGTCGGCAGCGCCAAGGCACGTGCGATTTTTCCCGCCGACCATTCATGAGTGAGTTTCGTCTACGAAGAAGGCAAACGCTTTAAAAACTTTGTGACCCCGAAATGCTTCCCCTGAGACGCCCCTGGCAAGCACATGACAGTATATAGTGGCGATTCCTCGAATTGTGGGGCCGTGACTGTTATTTTATTCTCCTTGGTCTTCACACTGCTCGAACGAGAATGAATGATGAAGTCGCTCGCTCGCACATTGTATTGGCGAAGATCTGGCCGGTCTTACAAATACTTTGTAGTCGAGACAATTGACGGCATCCCTTGGGCTGACACGCATAAAAAATTAAAAACTAATTTTTACGCTATCCCTTGAGGTATTAGCTGGACGCGATCGCTCAGATTGCGGCCGCCACAGTCTGGTGTCGGCCTCCCCAATGAGAGGTGGGCCCATTTTCATGGAGAAACTCGCAATCCGTGTAGATCTCTTATCATCGTATAGATGGTCCATGACGCCCCGGCTTGCGCCGAGTCCTCCTCCTCGTCCTCATGCTCGTCGGCGATGGGCTTGCTTGCTGTTGTTGCTCTTTTAGACGTCGTCCAGCACGTACGTGGGAGAGGTTTCCAGGGGGGGGTCGAGCAAATAAATCCTCAACATCGCGCGGGAGATCAACACCACCCGCAACGTAAAACACCGAAGCTCGTCCGCGAAGGACGCGACGGGAAACAGGAAGAGCAACTGACGAAACTTGCAGGGAGGCCGGGCGGGGGCAGGAGGGACACCTGACCTCTCTCTTCAACCCCACTCGAAAATATGTCGTTGCAATTTCCAGAACATCGACAGATAAAAAAACAACTTTCTTTCAGAGAGAAGAAACCCGATATCGCCAACTCCAAACCCTAAACCCAAGTGAAAAAAACAGGATGCGGCGCGGCTGTGCGGCGCGACTTGGTTGGCCAAACACCTCTCTCTGGGGCCGAGAACCTGGGGTCAAAAGCGAGGCAGGGAGAGAGAATTGGAGCAACAAACACTAAGCCTTACAGGCTTCAGAATTTCTGCCCACTCAGTCAATCGGTCAATCCCTTCTTATGCCCGTACCGGGTCGAACTGACGCTGACGCCTTGTGGTCACAGGGTAACCAACCCTTACAAAAAGAGGTCGCCCTGCAGGACGGGGTTCTTTCTAGCAAAAAAATCGGAAAAAACGAATAGTAATTATTTACTCACACAACGTTCAGGCCTCGCTGCCTTTTGAATAGCCCCTACCTTTTTTCTCCTACACCGTCACACAACACGCGATGAACAACAACGCGAGGTTCCCCTTTGCCAAGTTCTGTGCTTCACGCCCGTTTTTTCTCTCTCGTCCTCCCTCTTGGAACGACGGGACCATCGAATGGGTAGTCTTTCTGTGTGTGTTTTTATTATTCCTTAATCGTACTTTTTTTTTATTTGGATGGGGGAAGTGAGGTTCCGCGAAGCTATATGTTGCTGTTGGCGAGATTCGGGACGCATGGTTATGCCGCTTATTATAACTGTCACCTGTGTACGGTGTACCGAATAGCTGCGAAGCGACCGCACACGACATCAAACATTTTCGCCTACAGCAGGCCACTCTTCGCGCAAACAGCACGCGAACAAAAAAGTACGAACGCGGTTGTCACCCAACCAACAATCATAATTCTCACGCTCACCCCAAGACGTGCAAATCGGGCGCCCAGGGAGGCGCATAGGCGCATAGCGCGACCCGCTCGGTATCTTTCTTGCGGCAAGAGGCCTGCCTGTATCTCGAAACTGGAGTAGTACAGGCGGACGCACATGAGTACGACGCAGCCCACTTGATGCAACACCGCCGGAGTTCAAAACAACCGACACAACACCATCATCGAGGCCCACCTCCAGGGAGCGGCAGGCCGTGAGAGATATCGTGCATCGCCCAGGCACTGCCGTTGAAGTTGGGGGAGCCGTACGCTTGCACGAGACACTTTCTCCTGTTTTCATTTCTCAGGCGGTTCTGTCGGGCTATATCATTGTCGAGCCTGTCTTCAGACTGCGAGCTCAACTTGAAGCTGTAGTATTGCTCACCACCGACGGACGAACGACCCTCCAAAGGATGGCTCCACAGCTTCCAATTTCTAGAGATTGGGGGGGAGACAACGAGGCGATACCGCTCCCCGTTGTGATCTCGCCGGAGCAGCCGAGGTCGGCGGAGCTCGAAGCCGGTACCGAGGGCTTCTCTCCTGATCGATTGCTGAGACAAGCCAAACGCCCAACAGGAGCACTTGAGATCTCGCCACAACCGCCGCCGCCGCCGCCGCCGCCGCGGGGAGCTCCATGGTACTGCTGCAGCAGCGACCCCAAGGAACACCAACGAGCGCGGCAGCGGTGCACAGGTCGTGTATGTTTGGCATTGCGGTGTAGCTGTTGTCTGTTTGGGGTAAGTCTGGCCCTCCTCGTTGCGTATTGGAGCCTTGTCCCAATGTGCACAACGTGCGGTGTTGGTGTGTCGGGTACACTTAGCTCCTCGTCCTCTGCAGCTGGAGGAGTCGAGGTCGCGTCAATGGAGGGTAGCAGCGTGGGATACGACGTCCAGCCTTTCTCCACGCTACATATCAATCAACTACAGGTGATTTTATTCTGGCGGAGCATTTCTGGAGAAGAATTCATGGTGAACAAAACAAGAGCGTCTGCTCACCGACCTGTTGTATGCATACACGTCATCACGCGCTGGTATGACGCTCTATTTCACGCACGACATTTTGTGTTGGCGAGTCTTGATAACTAACACTCTGTCTGGCAAGTGAACGCATACATTGCATCGTGTGGTTGAAAACTGGTGTGGGTATAGCAAAATCGTGACAGGCTACATTTCAAGACTCTCCTACGGTACAGCACATACAATTGCTCCGCGCGACCACAAGAAAATTCGTAGACATACAGGTACTTTCTGACGCTATGAATTCATTGCTAATCTGTCTCAGACTCTTTTCTATGATCGAGATGGATTCGTTGTGTCATATTAAGAAAAAAAAAAAATGGTTTCAACAAGGACCCATTCCCAAGGCATGTTTAGACGAAAGTACAGAATTCGTTCCATTGCCCGAAACAACAAACTCTTTGTCGCAACTACCACCCATGTCGGGAACGATGGCCATGATCAGTTTGAGCGACGTTTTTTGTTGCAAGTCCTTCCCTTAAGCTCCAAACTTTTGCCTAGTGCGACATGACATTCACTAAGCCCCAACCTAATAGGCTCTTCCAGTAGAACACCACTACTACCTGTCATTTATACCACCATTGGTAGCTTTCCCTCAGCAAAAAAAAATGCTTCTGTTTGCGACGCGATGTGTTTGGTATATGTACACAGATAGAAAATATAAAAGTGTATACAGATAGAAAACATGCACCAGTGTTTGTTAATTAAACTAATTACTTATTGGGTTTGTGAAGGCGAAGTGGAGCGTCTATCTGTTCGCTGCCCCCATCACGATTTTTTCTCGAGGAGATAAGAAACGGGGGCAAAACGGTTTGGAACCCACGTCGCTAGTACTTGTAGACACGTTCCATACGCATACCACTACACCAGCGGAACACTTGTTGCTACAAACAGTTTTTCTCCTGTCTTACTATGACAAAAAGACCCGGCCGATGTTTTTCTTTTTATCCCGGTCAACAATTTGTTTGTTTTTGCCCCGCCCACCGTTCAACGCATCGATGCATATGGTGTCGCAGGAGCAACCGCACGGAAACACAAACACACCATTTAGAGGGAGACAGACAGAGAGACAGAGAGAGAGACAGAGAGAGAGAGAGTCAGACTGACACCGGCAGACAGACACAGGCAGACACAGGCAGACACAGAGCGAGAGCGAGAGCAGAAGCAGGGTGCAAAGCCAGACCACTTGGCGGGTTATGCATCATCTGCGCAGCAGCCCCTCAAACTCAACGCAGCCAAACAAGCCTCAATACGATTGATTACAATTTCTGGGCAAGAGCACACGCATTAGATGCAAGTTGGACCTTATAGGCGACTTTCTATCTCGAGTCCTGCTGTTCCCCTCGTCTCACCCCTCTCTCGACACTCCGCTCGCAACAAATCAAGGTGTACGGTACGCACAATTCGTATCATCGGCGCACGAACATTCCTGGATTGGGCAAGTTTTGGAAGTACGAGTTCCCTTCCATCCCTGCGCAGCTGGATGCCGGGGTGCGTCACCTGGAGCTAGACGTCCACTACGATTGGAAAACCGGCAGGTGAACGAGTTGAAAGTGATGTCAGGGGTACGCCCGTATGAATGTTCGGTCCTGATCCTGAGCTGGCACGTAGATGAACGTCAGGCTTGTTGTGCATCTTCGAGCGAGGACACAAGCCAACCGTAGCCACAGATTCTAGTTTTGTGTGCGGCGTTATGCATGTTCTGTTTTATGGTACTTGGGTACGATGCGCGATCTGGGCGCTATGTGTGTGGGCATGTATGCGCCGGGGTCCAAGTGCAGCCCCCCCGACAGAGCGAACGCAGCAGGTGCACTTGCACATGCCTGTGGGGTGAACGAGGGTCCTTGTTGTAGGAGGTTGGTGTGTGTGTGTCCCTACCCACACACACGTTCGCCACGAACGAACGTGGTCAACGTTTTATTCTTTCGGGTTGTGTTCTGGTCTACAGCAGCAGCAGTCTTCTTGGAAAGTCAGGGAGTCGACCCTGAGTGCATGTACGCAAGGCTCTCGGGACGCAATGGCTGCGAGACACCACGCGTAATTTCGCACTCGAATCCGTCTCTCTCTCTCCATCTCTCTCTGTCTGTCCCTGCCAGAATTTCTTGTCAGCTGGCACACATCCCGCTTACCCCGCAATCTTCTGCCCCTACCAGTAGTACCGCGTCAAGCTGACATGTTTAGCGATGCCGCCGGGAGCATGTATCCTGGGCGTTGGAACGAGCACGCTCTTACGGGTGTCGTTCATGCCCCACGAGGATGTTTGTTTTCATGGTCGAGAACCTCGATCAACCACGGTTTCGCACAGTCCAACCACCTTTGCGAGTACTCTACGTCTTCAAAAAACGGTCGTCGGCCATGGCCGGCCGTGCTTAGCTACGAACCTGGTGTGCCGGTGACTACCCCCTTTTCAGACCAATAATTACACAATGGCTCGCTCCTCCCCCGACAATAGGTGGTTCGTGTACCACATTTCTGTGGTGGACGCCCTGTCATCGTGCCACTGCCTGCTGTCTTGCCTCGAAGAGATCAGAGCCTGGAGCGACCTTAACCCGATGCACCATGTCATCTTCATGGATATCGAGATGAAGCTGACGGGGGACTTCCTGAGGGTGAGCTCGAGTGGGAATGGCGTCGTGGAAGAGCAAACCGGAGAAAGAGAGAGACAGACAGACAGAAGACAGACAGAGACAGAGACAGAAGGAGAGATAGATAGAGCAAGACAGACAGACAGGCAGAGGCGGGACAGACAGTACAGGCGGACAGACAGACAGAGAGGTAGAGACACGGCGAGAGAGAGAGAGAGAGAGAGAGAGAGAGAGAGAGAGAGAGAGAGAGAGAGAGAGAGAGAGAGGACGCGCAGCAGCTCCCCAACTTTGTATCAAAACGTGTGGATCGTGAACCAGAGAGACCACGAAGGCCAACCGACTAAGACTCACTAAGCTTGTGTGCTGTGCTATGTACGAACCCCTCCACTCAGCGCCCGATCGGCTACTCGGCGCTGGTTCTCCGCGCGGTGCTTGTTTGTCAGCAGGACGCAATGATGGCATGCGGGGGTGAACAGGAATGTGACGATGGCCTCCGCCATGAATCCGCGAACAGCTCTTGTAGACCGTAGGTATTGATTGCAACAACAACACCACATCATGTCCTGAATAGAGGAAGAAGAGCACGGGGACGTATATATGGGACTAATAAAGCCCCGCGTGTCTTGAATGGGGAGCAAAATCGCGAAAAAATGCCCGAACAGCCAGTGGCACACTGGGACATCGCCCCCTCCACCCCCCCACCTGCAACACGCCTCCTCTAAACCCACCAGATAGTATAACAATAACCCACCGCTGTTTTTTTGTTTCCCCAGATATGCGGAGATCACACCCCGGATCAAGACCGCGTCGCGTTCCGAAGCCTCCAGGACACAATACTGGAGGCATTCCCACCGGAACGACTTGTTACCCCGAGCATGGTCCAGGGAGATTACAACAGCCTCTTCGAGGCGGTGAACGCGGGGGGCAGCTGCGTCGGCGGGAGGTGCGGTAGCAACGGCGGCAGCAGCGGAGAGGGGGGGGCGATACCGGGGGTGGCAGGCGGGTGGCCCCTGGTCGACGACACGAGGGGGATGATCCTCTTCGTGATGGACTACCAGACCGTCAACCTGAGATGCAGGGACGGGGTCCGAAAAGTGAGGAGAAACGAAACAGAGGCAGCCGCCCCACCAATTGTTGCCTTGTTGGGGCCACCACACCACGCTCGAACCATTCCACACCCGCTGCCCATTCTTCCACCGCGATGTACGATATAAGACCTTCTGTTATCGAGCCACGCGTACATATTATACGCGCTACAACCAGAATGTCTACCCGTACTGCTGTCAGCGCGGCTTTTTTCGCTTGAGGGCTAGCTGGGCCCGGGACGCGATAATCAACATTGTGTACTTTTTGTCTCTTGTTTTTCCTCGTAGATGGGGTGCTCCAGCTCCTCAAGCGGTTATTGTAATCGCCATAACCCGCACGGCTCCCGTGACTGCTGCAAGAGTCCAACAGCGATAGACTCCGGAGTAACGCCTCCGCAAAACATAAAACCCTTCTGCTGGGGCGTCTGTAGATTGTTGGTCGCCATGCGCGGTACGCACATGGTTTGCGTCCTCTCGTACGAAGTAGCTAATTTCCGCGTCGAGTCGACCGCATAGGATAGCGAGAATTTAACCGTGAAATGACCGACAATGGGGGCACTCGCGGTAACTGTCCTTCCGGCTCCCGACTAAAATCTGCATGCATCGTGACGGTCCTCTCGAACAGAACCCGCTGATAAGCCAGGCTCAGCCTGGTTCGAGACCAGGCTTGGCAGTAGCCTTCGCGATGGTATTAAAAGCGGGTACACGGTTAGGGTTAGGGTTAGTGATAGGGATACGAACCCCCCCCCGCTCTACTTTACATAAAACGCTTAATAACCTCGCGAACGCGATCCCAACCTTGAGCGCACCCCCTCCAAGACATGCCTCGCAAGGTGGCGGCCCTCGCCACGTAGATTCCTGAGCAATCTCGTTGAGCGCCAAAAGCCTCGCCGCCCTCTCTGACCAAACATTTACACACCCCGGAACCCTCACCCTGACCAAACATTTTCGCACCCCGGACCCCCCTCTCATGACAAAATATTTTCACACCCCGGAACCCCCTCACCTG